TGGGGTTTACTCATTTGTTTTTTTTTTTTTTTTTTTTTTTTTTTTATGGCAATATTTCAGCAATTACTTGTTCTCAAAATACCCAAAACAATAACATTAAAATTGTGTGAAATGGGTGGGGAGGTTTTCTAATGTTACTGGAAGGGTTCTGTTTCTGCCTAAACTTCTCAACTGTCTGTATAGAGGGATGGTTTTATAGCCAAGTTATAAACTCACGAAGTAAGGTATACATAATGCAGATGTCAGGAGACTGTTAACTGTAATAGTGGGCACATTGTTGGAGATTTTGGGAAAAGCATATTTGCCTCAAATGATTTAAAGTCGCATAATACTTGTCACCTCATTTCTGGCCACTTATGGTAGAGTTTGATCACAGATAGGAAACACGAGGCAGTTTTCTGGCACGCAGCATTTTCCTGTTTAGTAGTTAACTCCACGTTTCAGTGTCTGGATGCAACCTAATAACAAATGAAATTTGTTTCCTGTCCCCGGTACATACATTTGTAGAGCAATCGGCACTAAGTAGAATCACTAAATTGCTGTACCCATTTTATTGCTAGTATTATATTGTTCTCTGTGACATTTGTACAGGAAAGGATTGGACACTTAACAATTTATGGGCTATCTATTTTATTCATTCACTCATTTGTTTAGATTTAGTATTGTTGCTTCCCTAGTCCTCCAGGCACCTTTGTATTCATTTTGAGGGAACACACATAACATTTTAAATTGAATACACCACAAAAATACATGCGTCCACCCTCAGCCTGCTGGATCCCATTTGGACTGAAAATGCATTTTCCTTCTTTCCTTAGCTGCTCTGCAGTAGATTAAATCATTAGGTCATTGTACTTACTTGTGTAAATATTCAGGACTTAGAATTTCTACTTCTCTTTTCAAGTGACACCAGTCTTTCTCTTCTCCCATCATCATCTTTCCGAGTGCAACATCAGGAGATAATGTTAGAAAGAGATGTCAGTGTATTTAGGGTGACACAACAGTGAAACCCATTTTGCCAGCCATCATGTTTTTATAGAAATGTCTCTGCTGCTGGACTATTAACAGATCTATTAGTGCACCTTCACCAATTTTTCACTTGCTTTTACTGACTTCTGGAAAGCATAATCTTTTTTGTATGATTGCTAATGACAGGGTTATTTTGCATTTGCAACTTTAGCATCATTAAATGCATCTATAATTCTTTCCGTCTTGGGTGGTCTTCTGTTGTTCAGGGCTAATTTAAGACCTTGCTGACCACTACAATTTAAGATCTTATTTCCCATCGTTAATAGGAAAAGCGTGCCAGCTACTGGGAAGAAAAAGTCAAATCTAAACATCTCTTTTTTTCAGTTTTCACTGCCAAAGAGCAGCAGCTTCTATACAACGATAAATTTAAAAATGCAATAAAGCTGCAGATCTGCTTCCTACAACTCTGCATAGCAATGATGACCTCTTAAATATAATCAAGAGCCCATTTTGCCCTCGGACTGCTCCAGTCTTGGGTTTGAATTGCAAATAGGAAATGTGGGGTTGACCTATTGAGGGGTCACTGTGGTGTGTGTAAGGTCCTTCTTTAATATGATAGTGGAGATTGAATGGGGCTCTATTTCCATCCCTTGTTCATTTGTGGCACAGTATTTCAAAGCAACAGAAATAGTTTTAAGAGGATCCTTGACTGATAGCAAATAATTGTTAACAGATACAGGATGGTGGCTTTATTTTATACCTGTTACACTTTTTTTTAAGTAAAGGCAGCTTCTTTCATTTCACAAATGGAGCAAGGTGGTCAAGTCACTCTGTTACTTGGCCACCTTTGAAGCCTAACTGCATAGAATTGGGAAGAAGGAGAAATGTGAATGGTACCATCCTCAACTTTCAGTAAGGAGAATATAACTTATTTAAAGCATCTCACCTTGGGTAAGACAAGAAAAACTACAGCTTTTAAATAAGTTGTCGGGCGTGTGATAATAACAATTTAACATTTTTTATTTACTAGATTTTTTTCTGGTTAAGAGTCTGCACTCTTTGGCTAATTTTGCTATTAGCAATGTCACTTGTAGGGGGTTTATAACATAGAGAATTCCTCTGGAATGTCCTACCTTATACTGTATGTGTTTATACTACATACATTTTCTAATCTATTAAGTAATGTCATTAGGAAACAAAGCAAATGCATATTTTACTGGCAAATTTTTATGCATCGAAAATGTTCCTAAGCCATTCACACAGCTTTTTTTTTTTTTTTTTTTTTAATT